GATCTTCCGGCGAGAAGCAAACCCGTGAGTAAGATGCAAAAAAAGACCGCATCCCGTCCCAATCGGCCGACATATAGTACCGTCCGGATGGGAGGTCAGCAGAAGGTCGAACAGGGAAGGTACATGATCCTCCACATCTGGGATCCGCGTAGGCAAAGTAACCAGTTGTGTTAGACCATATGCCAAGGCAGTCATACACAGATCTACCCGCATGATCGGTTAAACGGGCGTTAAAATCACCGAGTATCACGAACTCTGCGGATGGGACCTGTTGTAGCACGGAGTCTGCAGCCATTTGGACGTGGTCGATGAGTCGGTCTATGTCAGTATTACCGCTATGGGACCTATAGAGGCACCCGTAGACGGGGGGATGGTCGTCGCTGTCTACGCGCAGCCATAGGATGGCCAGGTCCGTACCTTCAAGGCTGCCGAGGCGTCAAAAACAGATGTCCTCTCCGACGTATACGTAAACTCCAGTCTGGGGCACAAAGGAGTGTTCAAATTTGTATCCCGGGTAGGAGAGATATGAAGTATCAGCCGGAGAGGACACCTGAGTCTCGGTTAAAAAGAGCAAGGCCGGTTTCGCCGTCTCTAGATGGTAATGGACAGCGTTAAGGTTGGAATGTAGTCCCCTGATATTGCAAAAATTCACGGATAGCGTGAAAGGGGTCGCTTTGGTCTTGTTGCTTCTCCAGGGGTGTTGGTACCCTCCTGGGGTAGTCTTCAGTTCAATTCCGCTACCATGTTGATGGGGGGGGGGGGCGGGTTGGACCTCCGGCCACCTGCACTCACCAAGCTAAATGCAGAGGTAAACCTCTACATCACGCTGGTATTCTGTGAGGTCGTGGTACCACCCCGGTTTGAGCCGGCCCATCCATGCGACAGCAAAAGCTGCCGCGTGGCTCTACCACTGTTAGAAACGAATTATAAATTACAGTTGCATTAATAAAATAGTTGCACAGTTTAAGTTTAAGATTCAGTCAACTTATAATTTATTTGATGGACGACTTAGATTTGATGATTGATAAATCAGCCCTAACATTCATAGTCATCAATTTCAAGAACTTGTTTTTAATAAAGTATCCAAGAAAATTGTTTGTCAGTTACGAGTAGTGCAAAAAAGTTCTTAGGTTCACCATATAATTTTCACGATTTAATTAAAAATTATATTTTAAAAATATAACAATAAGCTCTATTTGAGTAAAATTTTGAACGACAAAATTCTATTAACAAATTTATTTTAGACCTTATGAAAGTGGCTCAAAATTATTATGATTAATTTACTATTAAAATAATCACAATCATTAATTTTAAAGTATGCAATATAGTACTATTAAATGTGAATAGCGGCTATTGCAGTCTATGTACCCCTGCACAAATATCAAAAACATACTAAAGATGCGTTGTGAACTTTGAAGACTAAGATGGGATGAGTCATCCCACAGCCTTATAATTGTGTACTGGCTCTCTATTCCGTTCCCTATAGAATGAAACACGGCTGCTTGGCGGTAGATATATGTAGCTAAGAGGGCGGTACTCACTTAGCCTGAATCTTTGGCGGAAAAGGAGTCCTACTGTCTTTTAAACTGCTCTTATATTACATATAACCGAACTTTGCTCGGAATTAGAAAAAAATAAATGTCAATTACCTGGATAAATGTGCATTACACGTAAATTTTTACTTATTTTTTACCTACGTAAAGTAAAACATTATCTAAGTGCCAAATTTCACCCAAATCGTACGTAAGACCCGTTTCCGAGAAACCAGTACATATAAAATATACATATTATTATTCTTTTCAAACAAAAATTTAAAAAAATGTAAAACAATGATTTTCTATAAAAAATATTGTAATTGAACATTTTTTTGACTAAAGCTTTGACCTCACGGTTAAAAAGTACGGAAGGGGCCATACAAATGTACGTAACTATTGTTGACTTAATATATATATATATATATATATATATATATATATATATATATATATATATATATAAATAATTTACTTATATGCATACTTACACATAACAATTTAATAATCATGAAGTGAGTGATAGTGATTTTTAAAAAGTCTTTTAAACATAGAAATCGATGTAGCATCTGATCTACATGGTACATCTGGAGAATGAACAATAGTAAAACGATTACCTATTTAGATATCAAGTCAAGGAATAGTAGGATTATGTAGAATATTGGAAAGAAAACAGAGGATTCGAGTATTTCTGCGAAGGCAGATTGGGAGTCATTTAAGTTGCTTGCGATAAAAAGAGACTTGATCGAATTTCTTGAACCCAAAAATATATCATATACATAAATTTTACAAGCGCAAGTTTATTAATTTGCTCCTTGGTAGCATCCAAATAATAGACATCAGCGAAATCCAAAACTGGCAAGATAAGTGCCTGGACTATAGATATCTTAGTAGACAAGTGTAGAAAATTTAAAGACGTTTTACAGAATTTAAGTGTGAAATATTTGCCTACTTACATATACGGCAAAACAAAACAAAAACGACAAAAAGCAGAGGAGATAAGACTCCACCATGAGGTACACCCGTAGTTACATTTTACCATTCGGAGTATACATTTCACCGGAACAAACACATTGTGAACGATCACGAAAATACGAGTCACACCATTGAATCTAGACACATTAATCGACTTAAGGATACTTATAAGGATATCAAAATCGACAGAATTAAACGCACTGCTGAAATGTAGTAAAACAGGAATCTATTGGTCCATATACCAATAGATATCGTCAGTAACTTTAAGAAGGGCAGTAAGTGTACCATGACCGGGTCGCAAACATTGATATGGACATAATATATTGTTTCTGTTGAGAAACGCTTAGACTAAATTGTAGACAATGTGTTCTAGAAAAAATGACATCAGAGTAAGTGGGTTCAAATAATATTTACAATTATTTCTTCAATATTTACAATTAATTCAACGCATTTATTTTGGTGCCCAAAAGAAATAAATGATTGGCAATTATCATTATTTTGTTCTGAGATAGTAAATAAAAGCACGCGATTTTTATAAATTAAATAATGTTAAGCGTGAAATCACGTTTACGACTACTGGCCGTAAATGGTTATTGATATTCAAGAGGTCCCGGTTTCGGATCCTTGGTCATGTCATAATCTGTTATTGGGTTTTATACTTTATTATTTTTTGATATAAATATTATTATATTTCATAGTAATTTTACCCTAAATTCATTGAATGCCATCTCTATATCGCTAATTTCATTGTTTGACTGTCTCGTTGGTCTAGTGGACGTAAACACGATTGATAATAACGAGGTACCGGGTTCGAATCCCTAATTGTGTCTGAAAATCTGTCATTGTTTTTTTTGCTTTATGTTACTTTGTTACTATAAATTCATTGAATGCCACCTCTATATCGCTAATTTCATTGTTTGACTGTCTCGTTGGTCTAGTGGACGTAATCACGATTGATAATAACGAGGTACCGGGTTCGAATCCCTAATCGTGTCTGAAAATCTGTCATTGTTTTTTTTTGCTTTATGTTACTTTGTCACTATAAATTCATTGAATGCCATCTCTATATCGCTAATTTCATTGTTTGACTACCTCTTTGGTCATGTGGCCGTAAAAGCATTTGCTAATCACGAGGTCCCGGGTTTGAATCCCTGGTGGCCAAAATCAGTAGTTGTTTTTTTCTTTATTATTATATATTTTAATTTTTAAAACTCCCTAAAGACAGCACTAGGTATTATATAAGTGATGCCATTTATTACATTTTTTGCTTAACAATATACACGACGACCAGAAAAAATCTGTTTATAATAAAAATAAGAGGTAGCTTTGTGATTTTTTCTTCTATCGAGATAATATTATTCTATTGTGTTTTAATCAATGGTGTTCCTCGCAATTACTATGATGTAATATCTATATTAATTTTTTGTTACTTGACAACTTATCTTTATACCTCCTCTTAATAGACCTATCTAGGCAAAGCCTAGGGTTAAAATAAGTTTAAACTTGAGCAGTTATGCGTGTTTTGTTTCAGAGAATTTAAAAAGAAATAAGTATAAAAATAATTTTCATATTATGTAGTTTAAAAAAAACCCAGTTCATATTTTTCTGATTTTTTAAAATAAATGTTTATTCTTTATGCAAATAGTAAGTAATAGGTAATTTGGTCACTTTCTTGAGCTTTAGGGCCTCCTATAATCTTCCAAAAACTTCGACAGTACTTATAGTCTATTTGAATAATGGAACAATGTAGAATTAATGCATTTGAATTGTAATGAAAATGTATTTTTTTTATTTAATTTATTGTAATTGTAATTTTAAGTGGTGATTTGATGGTGAGGATGCCTGCACCCTGGTGTGGAACTTATATACGCATTAACTATTTACTTTGTTGGGCACTGGTTTCAATAATATTTGCGCTGACCAAACTTTAGGATATTATTAGTCAGACGATTTTTTTAAAACTGCTTCAAATCGTCAAATGTTTTTTTTTAAAATAAAATCGATGTGACGAGTGAACAAACAGCCAGCTTAATAGTGAGTGACTACTGCAGCCAAACAACCAACTTCAAGCTTAGATGACAATATACTATATTCTTCATACCGGAATACAGTGGTGCACGCACTGCTCCTTGTCGGCAGAAGTAAAAGGGGGGTATGGGGGAATACTCACCCACACGGACTCATTTTCTGCATAGTTAATATTGCAAGTTCATGTAGCTATTGAAATAAAAAAAAAATATCATATTGAATTAGAGAAGATGGCTTGCTAGGATGTCTAGGCAGTAGACCTATTTAAAAAAATCTAACCCAAGCCATTACATTCCACTTCGAGACGTCACAATATTTCCAGTCCATCTATGGACTTTTATGGGCTGAAAGGAAATGAAACGAAGGAAATGAGGTCAATTGCATAATATAAATTAAATAATAATAATACATTTACCAAACTCGTTTATTCACAATACATTTGTGTACGTTTCCTGTGTCTGATGTTTATAAGACACGAGTGACTGCTGTGTGTGTGTACGCAAGAGGGGCAAGGTGCGCGGTGCTAAATACAGGTGCAGCGTAGGTAAGAGGTACAGTGTGGGTGATCAGTGGGGAGGCAAGGCGGGCGATGGGAGCAGCTACTACGGGAGCGACGACGGAACGTTTCTTCAGGAGATGGAAACCGTTGTTCAAAGCCTTTGCGGTGTAGTGAGCAGAGCGATCCAAGTTTACTTCCAAGGTGTCCAGAGGCCTGCCATCAGCAGCGAGAATGTTAGCAGGTTGACCGGGAGCCAGGGACAGGGGTCCGCGGTAGTTGGAGGGCGCCAGAACAGTTGCACTGTAGACAAGTGGCGCGGTGTAAGCGAGGGGTGCGATGATACCCGCAGATGCGGCAGCCAACAGGCAGGACAACACCACCAGCTTTATCATCTTGAAAGTGGTCTGTGTTGTTAACTGGACGAGAAAACACTGATGCTGTGATATTGATCGATCCCTTTATATACCAGCATTCTCAGAAAATGCTGTTACACGTCATCGGAATGCATTGATGACCGTGACGAGACAACTTTTGCAGGACAAGTAAGGTTTAATGTATAATATCTAGTATATTATAGTTGCGAGTAATTATATGCCTTTGTGTCACAAAGAAAATATAAATTGCTAACCATTAACGGGAAGGAAAGCTTTAGAATTCCTTACCTCCTCTGTTGATTAAATATGCTCAATCCTTAGATTTGTTCAAGAAGAAAGTTAAGGAACATTATTTGTTTCTCTAACTTTTCTTTCTTTTTTCATTTATTCCATTCCATACCATTACAGCATATCTCCACTGCTGAACTTAGGTTATAGATTGCCACATAGGGGAGACTTTGCCATAGTTGCCAACCGCAGTTTTCATTAATTTGATTGGTAGTCAGGAAGATGCTGCTGCCCATCTCTTGTTTCAGTTTTCCTTTATCGCTTCTTACAACACCCACGGGACGGTGCGATGGGGGAAATGGGGTAGTGGATATTCTAACATTCATTTATAGTCTAATATTACTAAATAAGATTTTTTACCGAGTCGTCCGTTACTGTTACCGTTACCGTTACCGTTAGCGTTACAGCCTATAAAAGTCCACTGCTGCGAATAGATCCATGTATAGGAAGGATATTTGCCATAGTTGCCACGCTTGGCAAGCGGGTTGGCAACCGCAGTTTTTTTATTTTAGTTGTTTTTAGGAAGACGCTGTTGCCTATCTCTTGATTTGTTTCCCTCTATCGCCTCTTACGACAGCCGCGTTGTGATATGGGGTAGTGGATGTTCTAAAACGGTCAAATTCCCTCAAATTCCCGCAAGTCTATTGCATTTTATGCAAATTAATACAAATTGGTATTTTAAATTATTTATTTCAGTATTCCCATTTTCAGGGGAAACGGGATTTGATAAAATTAGTAGGTGAGAGAGTGGACAGAGGCATGTGGGATTGGGGAAATGTAAGCAGTCGTGGCATAAGGTGATCTATAGGTAAGAGGTACAGCGGGAGTGATCAGTGGAGTGGCGATATGGGTGACTGGAGTGGCAACGATCGGAGCCACCACTGAGCGTTTCTTCAGGAGATGGATGCCACTGTTAAGTGCTTTTGCGGTTAGGTGCGCGGCACGGTCCAAGTTGACATCCAGCGTATCAAGAGGTCTTCCATCAGCACCAAGAATGTTAGCGGGTTGTCCTGGAGCTAGAGACAGAGGACCTCGGTAGTTGGAAGGCGCCAGGAGAGATGCACTGTAGGTGAGGGGAGCTCCAAGTCCGTAGTATCCGTATGGCGACGAATAAGTGAGAGGAGTGATGAGACCCGCCACTGAGCGTTTCTTCAGAAGATGGATGCCACTGTCGAGTGCCTTCGCGGTCAGGTGGGCGGAACGGTCCAAGTTGACTTCCAGGGTATCAAGAGGTCTTCCATCAGCACCAAGAATGTTAGCAGGTTGGCCGGGAGCTAGAGACAGAGGACCTCGGTAGTTGTGAGGCGCCAGAAGAGACGCGCTGTAGGCGAACGGAGCTCCAAATCCGTAGTATCCGTAGGGTGCCGAATAAGTGAGGGGAGTGATGAGACCCGCGGATGCGGCAGCCAACAGGCAGGACAACACCACCAGCTTCATCATTTTGTAAGTGGTCTGTGTTGTTTCGAAGAAACACTGATGCACTCAGTCAAACGCAGGCTATATATACTCGTTAATGTAGAGAGGTTCAACTTAATAGGCGGTACCGGAAATAATACTGGCCATGAAACTACAACAACTTTTGTAGACGAGTTTAATTAAACAAAAGTTCAGTTCAAAAGAACTGACCAGAGCTCATGTCTTAAAAAAATTAAATTTTTATGTTACGACAGTTTACGTCAGTTAACGTGAAGATTTGGACTGATGCTGGATTTAAATAACTTTGACTTTTTGTATTGTGTTCGTATGGAAGAGTCAGAGAGACAGAGAACGTACTCGTAGTACTTAAAATGTGATGGATAGATGTGAACTAGGTATTACACGTTTTATTGTAGAACCAAGATTTAGACTTCTGTCTTACAATGCTATACAATGAGGCATTAAGAAATTTACTGATCGTTAAAAATACAAAACAAATACGACATCCTGATGATTGCCGTAATCGCTAGTTTTGTTTTTCGCCTCCAGTCTGGGTGTTTAATTTTTTTTGATCGAACGCATCCCGTACTTTTTTAAGAGCCAACTTAAAAAACCCGGAACCTCTGGTAACCTGTGTAGTATTCCAGATGTTAAATAATATAAAACTGGACTAGTAAAAGTTAGCAGCATCAAAGTTGTAAGATAAGACACGCATGGTGATGGCTACCGATCGTTGCCTCTATGGGAAAATTAAACGTCCAGTAGCGGACATTTTACAGGATTCAGCCAGCCATTCAGATACTTTTGTAATTTTGTAAATTTTTCATCCCATATATTTATCTTCTAATAATTGATCAGCGTAAAATTTTGTTACAAATGATGAATTTCTATCTCGACAATGTTTTCTAGTATTGTAATTCGAAGTTATCAAATCAGAACATTTATTTTAGTTCACGGGCAAACACAGATACATTAACTCGTTTAAACTTATACATATGGTTTTTCAGTTTGTGGATATTAATTAGGAAAACAAAACATACTTAAACAAATACATACATACTTGTTCTAATAAAATTTTAGTCCTGTAAAGTCCTGTTAAGTATTTTTTTACGAGGTGGCAGGATTTCTTTTCTGCCTCGGAGTCCATCTGGGCCAGTTTTACTTATTTCTGTGACCAAATTGCTTTTACTTATTTCTACCATCAAATTACAGTGCTTTCACTATGCTTTCTATAGAGAGCCAGTATAATTTATTTACAGATTATTTGCCGTTTACTTATTCGATTAGATATCATTACAGACTGAGTCATTCCATATTAATCTTTAAATTTGTATCTGTAGCTTTATGTATTTGAAGTTTGCTACAGGGGTCTATGTATTGCAGTAGCTATTGCAGTACACACTATAGATTGGGAAGTCTCAATAGTCTCAAAGTCCCGGGACACAAGACAACTCATGACAAAAGTCTCGGCACATCCCGGAACTTCAAGACAAATAGAGAGAGAATAAAATCAGAATAGAGGTAATATTTTTTTAAATGTATCAATGAAATAACAATAAACTTTAAATAAAATCCTTATATTTATAACGTTAATTAGTCTTAACTATTAATATAATGTAATAACTATACATAAACATTTATTGTGTAAGTTAGTATGAGTATCTTATTATGACCTTTTAAAAATAAATTGTTGCAATAAGATTTCGACAGGCACGACTCGAATATTGACCCGAAAGTTCCGGGACCCGAAACAATTTGATTTAGAAAAAGTCGCGGGCTTTTCAAGACACGAGACGCCCCTGGACCTAAACCCTAACCCTAAACCCTACCACTTACCATCAGGTGGATAGTGAGTTCGTTTACTTCAATTTTATAAAAGAATTATATGTTAATTTATGAATATGCAATTTGAATTTTAGTGACTCTTTAGTGTGAAATATCTCACTTTGCTTAAGTGATGTCTTTTTTTAATAGCAAAAGTGTGACAAACGAGCACACAGTCCACCTGATGGTAAGTGGTTGCTGTGGCCATCTGCATCTATCCTCGATTACGAATCTAAATGCAGATACCTTGTCACCCGTGAGGAATAAGATGGAATGCCTCTTTTCCAGTAAAAAGGGTCTCCGGTTCTCTACACACACCATACGAAACACAGCAGCATTAAGTTGCTATTTTACGCTGGTATTCTATGAGAGCGTTGTCCTTCCCCGGTCGAGCCGACCCATTCGTGCTACAATTATACCAGTAATATAGCTGCAGCATGGCTCTACCACGTAACTAAATATTAGCAGTTAATTTCAAAGGGTAAAAAAAAACACGTTTGACAATGAAACTGAAAATAGTTTCTCAATAATACGATATAATTGAACATTGTAAATTATATCTTGTAACTTTTTTAACTTCGAAGCTTGAATCTTCAGTGAATCGTTTGATAGAGCGATAAGCAAATCGTTGGGTTATTTTAAATTTTTGCAGAATATTGAAAATCTCTTTTGGCGCGTAACCACAGCGGTGCAACGCTATAACCGCTATTCTATCTACTTTCTTCGACCACTCCATATTTGAAAATGAATGAAAATGAATGTCTTTTTTTATTTTCGGCAAGCACAATGTTTATATATATATACGACTTAGGGACCTTCAAGAAAAGAGCCTACTCCTTTGTAAAAGGCCAGGAACGCATCTGCGATTCCCCTGGTATTGCAGTTGTTCATGGGCGGCGGTAGTCACTTACCATCAGGTGAGCCGCATGCTCGTTAGCCCCCTCTCATATGTAAAAGAAATTATTTAAAATTGATAAAGATCATCTAGCCAGTATTCAAAATTTTTAAATAATAAGGTTTTGACAGAACTTATGATCCGACTAAGTATATAATTGTTTATAGATAAGAAAAATTGTAAATAAAATACGTACTGCATATGCCAATGTATGTACAGTCAATACTTGTATTATTACGTGAATACTCTCAAAAGATTAAAATTAACAATATTTCTTGATTTAGATTTACAAGTGGACTAAGTCGTCGTTTAATTGATAAAGTGAATGGCCCTATTGCATGCCCAAGGTAAACAGGGAAACAATACTAAATTCTATAGACTTACTTTTAATATTCAGTTCCATACAATAAAATTTATTTACATACAATATTTTGTTATATAAAATATTAAAAACTGTAATAAAAAATCTAAAACTAGTAAATAAATTATAGTCCTACTTATAAAATATAGTCCTACTCCCCGCGGTATTGTCCCAAGATCGCTGGCTGCGTTTCCCCGCTGAATACTTAGCCTTTGAGCGAGAAATGAACAATACATTTAAACCATAAATTTAGCAAAATTGCTTGCCCTTTTTTTGCCAAATTTTTTTGCCATGCATTAAAGCATTGCCAAAAATGCTTTAATGCATGCCCAAGGTAAACCGGGAAACAATACTAAATTCCATAAAATTACTTATAATATTAATTTCCATACATTTAGCAAAATTTAAATTTGAGTATACAAATAGAAGGCCGAAGTCAAGCGTCGCCCTGACTGTGGTTCTAATATCTTTACCGAGACTGACGTTTGACAACGCCCTATAGAATATTTTATGACGTCACAAAGGTATCTATGAGAGCACCTACTTTCAGAACTAGTATATAAGACATTATTTGCAGGGAATAGCAAACAGTTCCATTCTGAATTGAAAACAACACAGACCACAATGTTTAAGCTGGTGGTGTTGTCTTCCGTGCTAGCCCTAGCGGCCGCAAATCCCAGCGCTATCGCTCCGTGGGGTCTCGCTGGTCTTGGATTAGCCTCACCTTGGATTGGAGCAGCACATGGGCCAATTGCTGCTCCATTGGCAATCGCAACCCCATCGCTTCGTCCCTACAACTACCGAGGACCCCTATCGCTAGCGCCTGGACAGCCAGCTAGCATTTTGGCTACAGATGGCAGACCCTTGGATACTCTCAGCGTCAACTTAGACCGTGCAGCACATTTGACAGCTAGAGCTTTAGATCACAATGGCATTCACCTCCTGAAGAAACGTTCAGCTCCTCTTGTAGCGGCAGCTCCTTTAGCAACAGCATGGTCTCACTCTGCTCGTTGGGACATACCAGCTGCTCGTTTGGTAGTACCTGTACCTCTCGCCGCTCCTGCCGTCGGACATGTTGGTTGGCGAGCACCTCTGGCTACGTTAGGCTGGGGAGCGTGGGGAAACGGAGCTCCTTTAGCTCACTGGTAAAACCATTAAAATGTAAATATGTGTATAGTGATAAAGAATATAAAGAGAGTTACATAAATCATTTTAAATCATTTCACTCTATTTTCTGTTAACTTCCTTCTCATATAACTATAACTTATACTACTTATTGACTGAAGCCTACGTATTGACTGTAAAATTGCTCATTTAATAATATTTCGCTGTGTAAAGTTGATCTTGTGTAAATATTAAACAAAACATGTGTAATTTTGGTTTTAATTTTTTGCCTCTTTCATCTGTTAATCGCAGTGATTACGTTTTCTATGATTTGCTGTTGCCTTGAAGGTTACTGTGCACTGACTGTGCAGAACTTAGTTTTGCCAATATTAACAAACGCCAATTACTATCCACCATTTGGCTTAATTTTGTTCCAGGTTACTTAGAGTCTAAAAGTCCTTGTAATGGATCCAATTTTTAAAAGTCTCAATTTCAACATTGAATATGTAGAGTCCTATTCTAATGTTTTTAAAACGAAAAAAAAAACAAATGTTTTGAAATAGATGTTTGCGTGTGTACATAAGTACTTTAGTAACCTTTTCATTTCACTTTTTATCTCGACAAGAAATAATTTAATCGTTTCAAAAAAGTTCTTCTTAGCTTAAAGCTACTCTTAATTGCATAATGGATACCAAATTTTTTTCTCATCGATATCAATTGTTTAGTTTTTAAAAATCGTACTTACCATTAGTCATCAAATGAAACGTTGATATTGTGATCAGACCGAATCGTTTTCATTTTTAGGGTTCCGTAGTTAAACAACAAGGAACCTTTATAGTT